CAAACGAAACGTTTGCAAGAAAACAGCCAAGCTCAGAGAAGCCCACGGACTCCACAATTCCTAAGCCCCTGCCTTTAGGAAAGGCAAGATAGAAATACTTCAGATAAATGCATGGCTGCTCCTGAGTCTTTCTCCTTGACGTGCTGTGTTTCTATATGCAAGTTTTGAAGTGATTTTGTTGGGTGGAGGAGCCTTCGGTCTGCCTCCTCTTTGCAGAGGGGAGAAGCATATCTCAAAGAGGGGTTGCCACTGGCATCACCCCAGATGCTGGGCTGACCCCCACAGGATTACATTTGACCTTCAGGTTTCCACACGGATGACTCCCTGGCCAAGGATGATCAGATGAGAAAGTGAGAGAAGGGGGAAAAAAAACCCCAGGAATATGCCTTTGCTGCTTGCAAAGGTTCCTCCTTACATCTGGTCCCTCTGTGAGAAAGGAAGAATGTTGCATTCAATTCATATAACCCTTTGGCATTATTATAGGGCAGATCCTCTAAAATCCCATTTGCAAGTTCACCCGTGTGGAACCAGAGATGTTGAAACAGTCCAATATGTGTTAATTTATTGCACCATCTATAGAGAGATTCATAAGATTTAGCTCTTGCCTCTTTTGCACCAGGACCCTAGGTGATTTGACAATACAGGGAGTCCTTGTTGAGCAACCACAACTGGGACTGGCAACCTGGTCGTTAAGCAAAGCAGTTGCTAAATGAACCCGCAACTGGGCTTATGATCCGACTTCAGCTTTCCTTTGCTTTACAGACGTGTGAAGGTCATAAATGTGAGGATTGGTCACAAAGTTACCTTTTCATCACTGTCATAACTGTGAAAGGTTGCTAAACAAGGCAGTCACTAAATGAGGGCTACCTGGTACTTACATGCTCATCCTTTTCTCAGTTTGTAAATCATAACTCAGGTCGTAGCAAAATACTGTACAGAAAATTAGGTGTCCATTGGTGAAAGGTCTCCCAATGTTGTAACATACTCTTATTTCAACCATTACAACTGCCTGTATTATTTTACTTTTATTTTTTTCAGTTCTACATTTTCTCTCCAGCCTTTGGCTGTAGTAAAGATTTGAATTCATATAAACCCCATGGAGAAGGAGAAGTACTCACTGGGAAGATGTCCCGGAGGCAATCTTTTCACTTAGTTTTACCTAAAGTGACAGAACAAGAAAAAACAATGAATTTATGATTCGATTTCTGTCTTGCCTTTATTTTTGTATGACTCAAGATGGCATACACAATGCTCTCACCTGCGGTTTTCCTCACAACAATCCTGTGAGACGGGTTGGGCTGAGAGAGGAAGGGACTGGCCCAAAGTCACCAACCAGCTTTCCCAGTTTCTAGTCCAGCAACTTCATCACTACACCAAACTGGATTGCTTTGGAATTTGACCAAAACATATTGGAAAGACCTATCTTTTTGCAAGGAGATGATGGGTTCAACCATGGTTTGTTGAATCAACTCTAATTAGTTAGGTCCACCTGACACACCAAGTCATAAACCATAGCTTGCAAGCCAACAGTTGGGTTCATGCTACACTCCAAGCCAAACCCAAGTGAATGACATTCTGTTGGGGATGAAGTCATAAACTCAAGTTCGTATTTGAATAGATCTTCAGGAAGTCCCAAGGCAGTAGACTAGATTGATAATTTGAAAAAAGAAGACAAAAGGAAACCAGAAGATAGCAATAACTAACCACTTCTTTACTCTTGCCAAGAAAACAGCATGGTTGTGTCTATGGAGTCACCATGAGTAAACGCAACTCAGAAAAGACTTTTTAAAACAAAACCTGCCACCTGTTCCAGATATGTCTTCAGTGAGACCATAATTTTCAATAAGAGAAGATGTAATCATGGGAACAGCTTTCCTGATTGAATGTTGCAAGTCCTTGCGGGGAGATCTATGAATAGTTATGAGTGTGGTAATAGAGTCAAACTCCTAGCTGAACATAACAGGTGGTGTATAATATTTAAAATTAAATTACAAAACCTTTAGAGAGGTGTGGGAGGGTAATGGTGTGGGTGGCTAATGTTTTATGCTCTCTTTTGTAAAGAGTTCCAGCTGAGTTCTTATCTTGACTTTATGCCTGACATGCAGTGAAGAGGGTTTGGGAATCTGCTGGAGGAAGAATTGGTTTGGGAACCTGATGGAGGTGGAGGTGCTGAAGGTCCCAGGCTTGCAGAAGCTGGATGTCTTTCTCAGGTCTGAATCTCCTGAAATCCCTTCTAAGAGACCATACTCAGCCTTTAGAAGCCATAGGTTCATCCTGCCCATCCCTAATGTTGAATACTTTTCAGGAGGGATCTATTCATTGGTTGACCTTCCCAGCCACACCTTATATTACCCACCCAAAAGATCCCCTTCTGGGAAAAAATGATGTGGAGTCACCTTCATCTGCAGCTCATGGAGCTGACCTTCCAGTCTGGCTTTGTCTTCCCGCAACCGATTTAACTCTTGCGAGGTGTTGGTCAGGAGTTCAGTATCCGTGATGGAAAAATGGTGCTCCGGTGGACCAGGATCCAGATCACGAGAGCCCAGTAACCGGATTTGCTCACGCTGCATCCTATCGCCAAGCATGCATGTTATTGACAACTGGCCTACAGTCTCAGCAGAGAGGTGGGATCCTAAGCCAGCATCAGAAACTTTAATAAAGCAGCTGCAAACACCTTGCCAGAATTTAATTTGCCTGTCTTTTCTCATCATTGAGTTCAGGGCATAGTGAAAGTTTCCTCATGAGGTCCATGGGACTTGCATGACAGAGCAGGCCTTCCCTGAAATAGCCCCCAGATTATTCTATGGAATAATCTCCCCCCAGAAGTATGCGCAACTCTCAACTTGCTGCAGTTCTGAAAACAGGTTAAAATTTCAATGCACTTTTATTCCCCACTGTAGGTTCTGATCTTGGATTTTATTTGGAGTTTATCTTTATTATTATGTTTTCCTTTCTGTCGATGTTGGATGCCACCCAGAGTCCTATAGAATTGGGGTGGGTTACAAGACTAACATAAATTGAACTAACAAACAAACGCATATTTTAAAAAGTTGTTTTTAAGAGTTTGGGAACTTGAAACCCCCAAACGCCTAAAATGCAAAAAAAACCCCAAAAACCTTTGTATTTTGAGGTGGAAACTGAACAAATCTGGTCTGTGGCCTCAGAACAGTGGTTCTCACCGTAAAGTTGCTGAGATTGAGAAACCGTGCCTTAGAAGGTAGTACAAGAGGTCGCTATTTCATTTCTAAAACAAGCATGCTAAATTTGTATGTTTCTGAAAATGTCAGCCTGGAAGATTGGTAGGCGTTGGACAATACCTAATGAATTTCCCCAAAGTAGAGGAAGATTCCAGTGGTTAGGCAGACAAATACATTTCCTTTCTCCCATGACTTGCTGCAATCAGCTCTTAAAAATGGAGAAAATATAAGCAAATCTGCTTGCTTTGTTTAATATAAACAGGCTGAAAAAAACTAGAATGCCTTCTAGATGACCCGCAGCCCTGACTCTTTTCAAAAAGATGCATGTCAAGAGATGAGCTATTGGACTGCAACAAAAGATTGAGGAACGTATCATTCCGTAGCATTCACAGTAATTCCTTCCCCCAATAGAGTAACATACATACATACATACATACATACACACATATGTATTGGGTTTTGCTGTTTGTTACTGTTTTTCCTCCTTGTTTTCTTGCTTCAATATGTTGCCCATCACCTAGAGCTGCTTAGACAATTCAGGAGGTTTATAAATTGAAAAAATAAAAAAACTGGCCTGACGTACAATGAAAGCATTTTGGAGGTTAACCCAGAGCTGAGTGCTTAGAAGATGCAACGTCCAAAAAGTCTGGGGTCTCAGCTTAAATATTGGGGTGTGCTGTCCTCCAACGTGGCCCCTTCTCTTACCTGTATGCAATCAGTAGACCTTCATGCTTCTTGACCAAATTCTGCATGCGTTTCTTGTAGCCACGAGCAGCTCTCGCCAGCTGTTCCTCCCGAGATCTGTAGGAAGCCCGGATGTCTTTCAGCATGCTGTCCACAAAACGCTTCATTTGACCAGGTTCCTTTGTAGCAGCTGCCGATTTGCTATCGGTGTATTCCTTGAAATACAAACAGCATTGGTGAGACGGCAAAATGGGGCACCCTAGCCTTAATTGCTGACCGACACAGCAGCTCACTCTGTTTGGTGGGCTGATCTCCAATTCTCACCACCATCCCTGGAGTCTAATTTGTGCTCTTGGGTTGCTCTAATGGGAACTCTTGATTTGGATTGTCGTAATGGGGCAAAGCAAGCTGGTAGAGGCATCTGGACTCACTCCTTTGGGGACCCACTCCAATGGGGAATGCTCACCGCCAGGTCTGTGATGTACTGAACAAGGCGCGAACGGTATTCCTCATTCAGCTCTTTCAGTTGTAATTGTAGCCTGGAATTCTCAGATTCAACTTCTTGAAGCTGGCCTTGAGACGACAGCAGTATCTGTAGCCCAAGCAGAGGAAAATGTACTGTGCTACCTACAAAAGATTCTGTCAAGACCAGAAAAGTCCTTGCAGGATTAGACTGAAAAATGCATTTGATCCCAAAACTGCCTCTGTCATGGCCAACACTGCCTTTCTCAGCTGTACCAATAGAAGACACTATCTGTAGCTCAGGGTTGAATTGTAGAGTCCTTGGGGTTTTCTGAGCTTGGTTGTTTTCTTGCAGACGTTTCATTACCCAACTAGGTAACTTCAGTGCTGTGCGGTGCACTGAAGATGTTACCTAGTTGGGTAATAAAACGTCTGCAAGAAAACAACCAAGCTCAGAGAATCCGAAGAACTCTACATTTCTCAGCTGTTTTCCCAGAAAAACACTAAACTGCTTCTGAAGACATTGTCTACGTCTGATCATTAGGACCTGAAAGCCACTGGTTACATAGCCAAAATGGCCTCCAAGATGGAAAATACTAGCAGATTCGGGGCAATTGGACAGTCTTCAAACTAAAGAAAGGAGAAGAATAATCTAAAAAATCAGCGAAGAACAGAGATGTTCAGAGGCTGCTAGATTCTGTCTAATATGGCTGTGCAGTGTTTGTGATTCAAGAGCAAAGATGGTTCGGAGTCCTGAGGGAGCCACATAATGCCTGTCTGCATCTCCTAAAAGTGGCTGCAGGTTCTTGTTCCTTTTCTGCCCGCCCCTAGTGTTAACATCTCATGTCCAAAAAGTTTCTCCACTGTGGATGTAGTTGGCTGGTGTGATCTCCTGGGTTAGGGTTTCTCAACGTTGCAGGGTTTCTCAACCTTGGCCGCTTTAAGACATATGGACTTAAACTCCCAGAATTTCAGCAGGGTTTCTCAACCTTGGCCGCTTTAAGACATGTGGACTTCAACTCCCAGTTGGGAGTTGAAGTCCCCACGTCTTAAAGCGGCCAAGGTTGAGAAACCCTGGATTACAGCATGTGTAATAAATTTGCAGTGGTAACCATCAACCATTGATTAATAACCCTAACCCTAACCCATTAGATGGGTAAAGGAGTGCAAGACAGCCAAAATAAGTGGATGTAATCAATTGGAGCACAAAACTCACTGGTGGACAAAGAAGGAACAAGAACAAAAAAAGGAACAAGGACAAATTATGCATCTTTTCTTGAGCTCTCGCGGTTGTCCTTTTCCATGGTAGTGCAGTTCTGGGAAAATATACCTTTGATTTAAGGAATTGCAGACACACTCCCAAACATCTTTATGCCTTTGAATCTGGAGCGCCGCACAGCTGTACTCTTTGTTAGATGGATAAACTGGACAAGATGGAAGAAGGAATGGAATGGAATGTCTTGGAAAAAGAGGTAGGAGGACTAAGCGCAACCTTTATTTCAAGCCCGGCTTGTCACAGCTAAAAGCCACTGATGGATCTGTTTTCCTCCAAGGTCTGGCATATAATTTTTAAAAGCATCAAAGCTTGGCAGCGATCAATCTGGGTGCTATAGCAACAGGCAAAGTTGAAAAAGCATTCGGCACAGAACTATTTTCATTTGTTTGCTCTAGAGCTATTGTAAGTTGAAAGTCATCAGCGGACCTCTAATTCTAGGACAATGGATGACGAAGCCAATTTCTCTTGCTTCCATCCTGTTAGAGCTTTGAGGTAGTCCAGACAAGAAGCACAACCTAGAGTACTAGCTCTAGCTTTACTGTAAGGTTACATTAACAGAATCTTGCAAGCCTGAAAGGATTTCTCCCCTCCTTTCCTTTTACTCTCCAGACAACTAGGGAGGATCCCTTCTGAAATGTTTCTCA